CTGAAGCAAGACGGTTGGTTCCCAATCCCAAGCCATTCCCTCCTCCTTCCTGGGCGGCAGCGCTCCTTTGCTTTGGGTGTCGTCCTCCCTGTGTAAACCAGGTGTGGTCTCCTGCCCCAGAAGTCTGTAATCACACTGGACACAGGGTGAGAGCCTGGGTTCTGGGTGCCAGCACTGAGTCACACGGCCACCTTATCTTGCAACTTCTCATCAGGTGGAATAACTTTTCGTTATTGTTTAAAGCAGTTCAGTTGGAGTTTTGTCTTATTTCAGACAAAATAATTATAGTGAATACAAAGCCTATTTACTGTTATTTGTTGTACGGTTTTAATAAGTTTGGGTACCTATTTTCCAAGCTAAAACACATTCCAGTAGTAAATTAGATAGGGGAAATGCGAAGCTTCAGACTTTCCTAAGAATGGAGAGTGACAGTCCATGGCCTGAGAGCAAGGAAATGGACTCTAATTGGCAAAATAAAAAACAGAAACAAGGAGTCAAAATTATAAAACATGGGGCCATTTAGTATGGAGGCAGAGCGTGCCACACACCCAAAACCTCTCAGAGGCATCATTACGTTAAAGAACAGATCAATATCGAAACAATCTGTTCAGAGAAACTTCCATCTAAGCTAATAATTTTTAAAAGCTTTTCTGCTTAAGGGTTGTACCAAGTTTACCTGGGAAAAGAAAAGAGCCTGTCAGAATAACTCAGTCACTGAGAATATCCTACATCTTGGATTTTACTCTACATGTGTGTCAGAACGCATTGTTCTGAGCCACTTGGAACTCAGAGGTCATTTGTGCTCAGAAGCCACATTATGAAAAGTGATTAGGTCCCAAGGACAGTCCACGAAAGCCCATTTGACTCCAAATGGACCAGAAGCCTGTCAGGAACTGTGGAAGGGGTTAGGACTATAGGCAGCGTCTACCTGCCGGAAGTTACAGCGCTGTTCTGGAGGACAGACCCAGGGCATCTGGCTCAGCATAAGGAGGTGATTCCCAAAGCCATGATTCAGGCAACACACTGCGCATAGCTGTCTGCCCATCATCTCTGGACAGTGCAAACTGAGGCTGGCCAACAGCCTGGGCCAGAGAACAGACCACCATATCAGGTGGGTAACAGAAAAGATGATCTTTAAGGTCTCCAATTCTGTTTTTAATTTTCCCATTTCTCTATGGGTTCTGAGGGGTCAAAAGATGCTAGGAATGGTGACTGTTCTGTCCCTGTAATTTTCGCAGTCTCCGTGGACCTCCATCAGTGAGGCGCCTGACAGCAGGCACAGTCCAACAGCACAGGTGGTCCCTCCTTGTTAGCGTCACTGCTGGTACCGTCTCCCCACTGCCCATCCTGCTGCTGCAAAGACTCGAGGATGCCACCACCTTGAGTAGACAGCAGGAGTGGGCAGGATACCTTGGTGGCCTTGATCAGGTAACAAGATATGTACGCAATTACTAGCTTCCCCATCATAGTCTTGGATGCTGACTCTAATATCTTACCATTCTCCAAACCCAGGTCAGCTATGCCTTCCTCCATGAAGACTTCTCTAAGGGTCATCCTGGTTAGAATTAGGGACTGCTTCCTCGGAACTCTGCAGCAGATTCTTACACCTCCTTTGCAGTCCCTCTCCCATTCTACACTGTACTGTAGTTATTTGTGGGCACATCTTGTCTCCCTTACTGGGTTATAAGATCGTATAAGACAGGATCCATGAAAGCCAGGGGAAATTATCTCTTTCTGTCTAGGAGTGGACAATTTGGTTGAAACAATTGAACAAGCGCACCAACGACAGGTTTTGGAAGTAGTGGCTTTCATTCAATGTTGACATTCATATGCAGTGATCATGTATAGGGCGTCTGCTGTGTGTGTATTGCGTGTTGGACATTGAGTTGGATTCTTGGGGAGAGGGTAAGGTAAGTAAAAGTTATAGAAAGACTTTACCCTCCAGAACTCACCATTTATAATGGAAGCTGTCACCTCCTCTGATCCTCAACATCAATTCAGAGGAGGAACTTGGAGTCCGGACATGACTGGTCACCCCAAAGAGAGGTAACTTTGTAACTGATCATCTGGGAAAGAGTGGCAAATTCCTATTTTATGCTACTTGACTTTGGAAATTCAGACATATAAGGGTATGATGGCTTTATCTAAGTCTCTAGAGAGGGGTTAAGGACAGGCTACATAAGATGTCATTGTCTCTGCCCATGGCAGGATCAGGGAGAAAAGGCTGGCACTACAGCTGAGGATAACAGTATGAGGAAAAGCAGGCAGCATGTCGTATTTCATAGAGAACACGAACACAGAGTATGGAGCCAGCCTGCCCAGGTCTGGATCTCAGCTTCTCCACTTACTAGCTGTGTGACTTGGGCAGTTGCTTCACCTCTCTGTGTCTCAGTTTCCTTATTTGTGAAATGAGATTAATGATAATACCTTTCTCATACAATTGTGGTGAGGATTTAAAGAGAGAACGCAGGTGAAGGGCTTAGAACACTATCAGTCATGTGAGCTGTTATCATTGTCATTATTGTGCTGTCAGCTGGTCTGAGAGTAGGTCAAGACTAAGGCCAGACCATCTCACCCATGCTAGTAAGGTCAGTCCCTTCACTGTAGAGACACAAAGTCAACATCCCAGCCACCAGGACCAACACTCCACAGAGAATGCCCGCTGCTAACCTGGGGAGTCAATGAATTTCCAGATCCTTCCACCACCAGAGGAGAGGTTTTCTGGACACTTGAGTGTGGTATTCATAACTGAGCAGGAAATGTGGGGACCCTCGTCCTGGACACTCTTTCTTGGTTCAGGATCAATATGAGCCCAGACATCCAAAGGAGACTTTAACCTTGACGCTCCTCCTTCTCCACACTTCTCCAGAGTTCAGCCCGTCCTCCACTGCTTCAGCACTGGTGCTAGCCCTCACCTTCCCCCCTGAGCCCCCATATCAGTGTTCTGTGGCTTTTAGTCTCCTTTTCCCTGCTCATTCCATGATCTTTATAAAACCCATACCTTATTATGTCATTTCTCTGCTTAACTATGTCTGATGGGTGAATACAAATGAAAGCAAAAAATAACATGGGATTGTCCCACCATCAGGATTATGATTAAAATTGAAGTCTGATGATAGCAAATACTTTTCAAGGGTCTGGGCAAGGAGAGTCTCACACACTCCTGGTGGGAGCGTCAATCAGTACGGTCATTTTGAAGAGCCTCTATGCAGTGTAGACTAGATCTAAAATGCACACACCCTCTGACCCAGCAACTGTAGGGCTCCGGGTCTACCCTGTGAGGAACTTTCCTGTGAGAACGAAGGAGGCGTAGCAAGGACATTCATTGGGCTTTGTTTGGGACAGAGAAAAAAGTCAGAAATAACCTAAATGCTCATCAATAGAGAAATGGGTAAAGAGATAAATCCATGTTCTGGAATACTACGCAGCATTAAAAACATGAGCTAGCTCTAGATTCGTTGATACAGAAAAAAGTTACATAACCATATGTTATGGGATGAATTGTTTTCCCTCCCAAATTCACGTATTGAAGTCCTAACCCCCAGTGCCTCAGAATGGGACTCTATTTTGAGATAGAGTCTTCAAAGAGGTAATTAAGGAAAAATGAGGTGGGCCCTAATGCAATATGACTGGTGCCCTTATAAGAGACTGGGACACAGACACGCACAGAAGGAAGACCATGTGAAGACACACGGAGAAGATGACCATCCGTAAACCAAGGAGAGAGGCCTCAGAAGACACCAATCCTGCCAACACCTTGATCTTGGAGTGCAGCCTCCAGAACAGTGAGAAAATAGATTTCCGTTCTTTAAGATGTCTAGTTACAGCAGCCCGAGCAAACTACACAGCATTAGGTATTTTCTTCAGATGTGTATAGATGAGTGCAATGTATGGAAGACAGAGTGGAAGGGTCCATCCCAGTCTGATAACAGTGGTTCCCTTTGGGGAGGGATTGGGATTGAGGATAGCAGTCGAAGAGGATTTTAGCCTTAAAATTAAGGTTTTACTTCTTATAATGAGAAGGTACACATATATTATTTGTTTATCAATTTAAAAAGCCCCTCTTTCATGGCACTCCACTGAATACAGTATGCAGTGTACTACCCCACCAGGATCCAACAATCTTTGGAACATTATTCCACGTCCACTCTCATCTCCTGACCCTATTTGCCACACTAGTATATCCCATACCTCTAATGCCTCTGTGCCTCTGGATGTCTCCTCTGCTTGGAATGCCTTTTCCCTTTTTTTTTTTTTTTGTTGTTGGTGAGGAAGATTGACCCTGAGCTAACACCTGTGTCAATCTTCCTCTATTTTGTATGTGGGATGCCACCACAGCATGGCTTGATGAGTGATGTGCAGGTCCATGCCTGGGATCTGAACCTGTGAATTCCGGGCCACGGAAGCAGAGTACACACACTTAACCACTACACCACCAGGCTGGCTCCAACTTTTTCCCCTTTTTCTTAAGCCTGGGCTGCTGACTTCCATCCTTCAGAGCCCAGCTCAAATATGACCTGCTTTATCAATACCTTGCTACAAGTCTTACTTGGCAGATCTTCTTGAGGCACACTTCTCATTTCTATTTGTGCTCCCAGTGCCTAATCAGTGCCTGCAGCCAAGTAAATGTCCAGTAAATGGTTCCAAACACATGGATGATAGGAACATTTTCTAGCAGATTGCTTTTTCATCCAGCATATCTCAAAGGTCCACCATTTCATTGTTGTACATTAACAGATTCCCTAGGGCCTAGGACTGTAATCATGACATGAGCGATGTCCTAGCCTTTAACTATTTCTTTAATACAATGGGGACAACTATATTTCTGGGCAAGCCAAGCCCAATTTGCTTTCAATTCTGGTGAAATCAGCTGAGAATGTATTGCAATTCATTTTACTCAATGTGTGCCCATAAAGATCTTCAATTACTTAACCCACAGAAGGCCCAAGTCAAACATGCCTGTTGACCTGTAACTGGGAGGCTCTGATACCAGGCCTTACCTCTTCATCGGCTTGGGTGAGCATTCTCTCTCCAGGTTGGAGGATGTGTGTTTCACATGCATTGCATTATAGGAAGTGTGAGTATAGTCATTTTCGTCACTGTAGTCAGGACCGAGCAACGTCCGGGCCCATGTTCCCATGTCATAAGGAGGGAGGGTTCCTCCAAATTCGGAGGGCAAAAATTCAGGGTGAATTAGCTGGTGAAGGCTGTTTAAATTGTTTCCATGGAGGAAAATCTGGAAAGAAAAAGTAATTAGCAATAAAAAATCCTGAACATATGACCAGGCATTTAATCTAATACATAATTTAGTAATGACAAATTGGATACACCGCTGGTGATCATGGTGTTTAAAGAGGCATTCAATTTTGTGTCTGTGGCTTACCCTTCATAAAATGTTAATTTACTGCTTAGAAAGGGGGCTGAATTAATAGTCCTTAAAAATGAAGTTTATAAACAAATTGGATATTATTTGGCCATGGCCCAGATTTATACATACAGTCATCTCCTAATTACCCCTGCTGGTGGAGAAAGTAGCTATGCAGACCATCCAGACCCCCAATCACGCTTCACACTCTTCTCCACATTGCTCTGTGGTCCCTCTGGAGCACTCCCTGCCCTCTGTACCCCTATCAACACTCCCGTCCTTCCCGGGCCTACACCAGGGGGCAGCTTCTTCCTCAGTGTGTCCCAGTGACACTTGCCCATTCTGGTCCTCCCCACCCTCCTCCCAATTAACTCTTTATTATGTAATGACTTCTGTTTTTTTCTGATTTGCTCATTTATGTCTTGCTTCCTCATGGGAAGAGAAGAATACTCAGGAAAAGAGATAGTGTTTTCCTATTCTTGTAATACACTCCTAGCTACCTGGGTGGTGGGGGCACAAGGTCAAAGCTCCATCAATTCTTAGTTAATGGAATTGAAAACTGTGGCCTAAGAACTTATTGTGGGATATTTTTGCCCCAGTTTTCTATTTCTGTCTGAACTGAGGGCTAATACCCAAACAAACTGGCATCCTCTAAAGCAGCTAACGGATGGCCATGGAAATTGGTCAAGCCGGGGAGGAAACATACCCAAATTACAATTGTTTTCAGATAAACACACGAAGTGAATAAACCACAAGTTGATAATTACCATTGACTGCAGTTCAGGAATTGACTCCTGAATGTTTATTTAAAGTGTATCTGTGTAATGACATTGGTTCCCACACTTCTTCATGTTGCAGGCACAATACACATAAGTCATACCCAACTATAGGACCGTCAGTTACACGCACACACACACACGCATGCCATACTTAACCATGATGAATTGTAAATGTGATTTTTAAAATACTTAAATATAGCATAATAATACACTGTAGGGGAGAAAGACATTTCCTCTACCTTCTCTGGGTTCTTCTGGCCAGAGAACAAATTAAATTCACATGAGACAGAATAGCAGGAGAACATTAAACAAAGCTTTATAACATGTATACATGGGAGAGGCTCGGGCAAGCTGAGCAACTCACCAAAATGGCTGAAGCCACCACCTTAAATATCATGTTCAGCTAAAGAAAAAGGAGGATGTTGGGGGTGGGGGAGTCAGTTACAGGAGGTTACCAGAAACAGGAATAAGATTATTATGCAGATTTAAGTCCTTGCATTCCGTATTGATAGGAGTTTCTAGAGATAAGGTCAGCCCCCTTCTTCCTGGTACAGAGAGGGAGACAACTTCACAAATGGAGATTTCCCTTACAAATGTAAATGTTTCTTAGCAAAGGAACTCTGCTTCTCAGAGCTCCTTTCCTGTCTGCAGTTTTTATTAAAAGTAACCAGCCCCAAATAATCCTCACGCCAAAGAGACAAACCTTGGGGTGGCCAATTCTAGGCCCACACAATACCATATAATATTGTATACACTACATACTAAATTATAATGTACTATATAAGTATATAATAAACACTTGCTACTTTGTTCTGTTGTGTTGATTCTAACTGATGCTGTAATGGCATCATTTCAGGATGAAGGGGACAAGAAGCTGAGTGTCAGATTCTTCAGAAGAGTAGCGTAGCACTTCAGGAAACAATGTATGTTTGCTGACGTTCAATTGGGTATGACTGAATTTTAATAAGAACTGTTTCTTTTGAAGAAATTCACGTATTCTGGGTTTTGTAAAACATCACACAGGAATTGTGTGTATCTGAATTGTAGTATCTGAAGCATGGAAAACCTGGCGCTAAATACTGGCCCTGGTGTGAAGAGCAAACATTTGTACCCACCCACCCAACACCTCCAGTTCTTAAAGAGCAGGGTGTGCTGCTGAAACTGGCCCTCTCTCCTGGGGGTCCTGTGGGATGGAGGACCTCAGCAGGTAGGAGGCTGGACCCTCCACCTGCCAGAGTCTGTTCTCTGCCCAGAGCTCCAGAAACTCCCTTCTATGGCTCAGCAACAAGTGTCGATTGCTTTGTGGGAAGAATTCCCACTGGTCAGTACAAGACAAAGCCAGTAGGAGGTCTGAAGCCACATTGGGAACAGTCTGGGACACTTTTCTGTCCTTAGCACTGTCCTGAGCCCTGGACAGATAGCAAGGCCTCAGAATGTCTCTGCCTCCTGAGGCTGGTGGGTTCCAGTTCCTAGTTTCACACTTATTTGGGGACAGGGTAACTACCCCTCCCATACCTTACTGCAATGTTTCCTAAGGACCTGGAAGCATCTGAGGTCTAGAAGTTAGGAACCCTGCAGAGCATATATGGGGGGCGGAGGGTCTCTCACATCAGCATTACCCCCTGAACACTCAGAGCTCTTCCCCAGCATGGGGGCATATGTCAGGTGCTATGAGAATGACCCTGACCAGGTTCCCTTGAGAGGTGGTGCTCCTCACCCAACAGGCAGCTGAAATCAGAAAGTTTAAAAGAAAAGAGAGTTAAATGGTAAAAAAAAAAAAAAGAGAGAGAGAGAGAGAAAGTCACTGAGTCTCTGAGTCTCTACTACGTGAGTGGCATTATGCTACCTGCTTTCATACACTGTCTCATTAAATTACCCCAGCAACACTGTGAGTGGGGGTTAGTTTCCCCATTTTACAAAGGAGGAAACTGAGATTCAGAGTGGTTAAGGAATGTTCAGGTTCTCAGCTAATCAGAATGTCATGAAAGAGTTCAGCTCTGATGGAAGACGCTGGCTTCCCAAATGTCATCAACTGATGCAATTAAGAGCTTGAAAGCCTTCTTCATAAGAGCATTATTATTTCTATGAAGGATGCTTTCCTAGCCTCAGAGGTGGTGGGGCTGGCAGCTCTGACTCAAGAGCCTTGGGGAAAATACAAATTATAAACATTCTTCATAGCGATAATATATTTGCAGGACAAAATGCTAGCTATTAAAATATTCCACGAACAGGAAGCTTCTTGACCCCATCTCTCCCACAAGCATTTACAGTAAAATGGGCATCTGGTATTTGCATGCCTTCAAAGTTTCCTTTGGTTTGTCACTGGCACTCTGAAAATAACCCAGTTCTACTAAATTATTGATTAAATCCAGGTCATTTGCAAACTCCAGCTGGGCCTCAAATGCTCAGGGACTGCAGAAAAGCAGAAAAATCACAGTGAAAAATAAGGCAAGAGGGAGAGATTGAGAAGAGAGGCACCATAATTGTCCCTCCGCATCCCCCCATTGGGTGTTTGTTTTCATTACCCGTTTCCTGGTCTTGTCTTTAAGAAACGGCTTGATGAGCGTGTACAGGGCATGAATGTACCAGGGCTGGTTGACAAAATGAACTCCTCCGAAGCGGGCAGGAAAGCTGTCCTGGGGCAGAAAGAGAGAAACACACGCCAATTAGCACGCGTTCAAGGTTAGACTGGACCAGCACCCCCGAGAATAACCAATTTCTTCTCTCTGCCTGAGGCACTAGCGAATGGTAGGAGAGAAAGAAAACACACCCCTTCTAGCTGTGAAGGTTTCCTCTCTTCCCCTTGCCGCCCTCCTCCCCTTTGACGCCATAACTTGAAACTCATGGATAGGTGCCAGGCCTGTTTTTTCCGAGTCACAGGTATATGACCTACAGGGCACAGAAGCATGTGCGGCCTGGGTATCGAGGGAGCTGGAATTCTTCGTGGTGTTAGGGAGCCAAGGCTGCAGTTCCCACAAGCGCTAAGCACAAACTGTCTTTACCCTCATTCTCTGCTCTCCCGCTCCAGCCGTCTCCACCAGCATTATCATGACAATAGCTGAACTTTCCGGGTGAGTGAGTGCTGTGTAGGAAGGGGTGGGAGCAGGATTTCAAAGGATTTTAGGAGATGGGCCTCTCTGGGTTCCACCAACGTCTGACACTGTTTGCCAGCTACTTTTTCACAGATTCAAGAACTAACGCCTTACTTCATCCTGAGACCCACACAGTCGGTTCCAGGGAAAAGACACTCGTCTATTGATGGGCTAGTTGATTCCTCTAATTTAGGGAATATGGTCCTCCTTTTCTGCAGATCAACATGTTTTGTAAATATGAAGAAATAAGAGTATTTTAAAAATGGTTCCAATTTTAGAATCCAGCTCAGGGCATAAGCTTCTGTTTTATAAGCTGCTCTCGGTGCTAATTAGATGCACAGAATAAGGACCTTGACCATAAAGTCTGAGCTAGTCCCACAGCACCAGGTCCTGAGATCCTGAAGAAGGGCCTCCGCAGATTGCACTGCATTCATCTCCGTTGATGGAATTAAAAAAGAAAGAACATCTAATGCAATTTGAATTGCTGCGTGTGCTGGCAATCAATTTCATTGCCACAAACATGTTTGTAAAATGTTAGCAAGATGAGATGAAAGCAGGAACCTAGTCCTCTGAGCAAGCAGTTCAGGCAGCTAGCTGCTCCCTGAGGGTGCATGAAACGCCTCGCCTGAGTCTTTTTTAGTAACAAGGAAAGAGGGTTATTAACTTTTTTCAGAACCTTTTGACTCTACGGGATCCCTGGGCATCTTCCACACGGAGACCTACTTTCCAATGCGAGCATGTGGAACTGTGCTTACGGGTTGACGTTTAAAAAACTTAAAAATAATTTTTGCCTCTATCTAGACATTTTAGAGTAAAATAAATATTTTGAAGACTACACTAGACAATTTCAGTAAAAGCCTTTGTTTTGCGGAGTAGGCATTTTTTATTTTGTTTATTTTATTTAAAAAAAAAAAAACAATAAAACCACCATGTAGGGGTAGAGAGTTCCTTTATACTAACTTGTACATTTGTGATAACCTCTCAGTATTCCAAATCTGGTTTTAGAAATGTAAAAGTTCTTAATAAGTTTGTCTTTTCTTTTAGGTATAGTCTAGGATCTAAAACTTCTTTGGTTTCTTAAAAAAAAAAAGAACTTCCCAAAAGTTTTTCCTTTGCAATAAGTGCTGAGCTAAATTAGTATTGCTCTTCTTGGTTCTTTTGAGCTTCTTATTCAGAGTTTAATTCATTATCCCACACACTAAACCCAGCTTCTGAGGGGCTATAGAAGAAGAATGAGAGTAACGGGTTTATTCATAAAACCGGGACTTTACTATCTTTTCTAATAAGACTGATAAGAGAGCTTTTATTTCTATTGAGAGTCTAGCTTAGTAAAGTCAAAGAAAACTGTAAATAATTCTCTAGAGGAAATAGGTACAGATCTCAAAGAAAATATTAACCTTTTAGAAATATCTAGAGACTCAGTTTTAATCTACGGAACTTCAATCATCAAAGACTTCAAAACTGTCTTCTGTTTGTGTCAAAGGAGGTTGAAAGAAAACATACAGGGCTGAGACTGCCAGTTCTCTCTCGGTTGGCTCTGGCTTCAAGTCTGCCAGCTTGAAGGCATGGGGTTTGATTATCTCATCCAGGTCAGCCAGCAGCTATGTGCAGAGAAATGCACATAATATCCTGCACCTCAGTTCCGGGTTTGGGCCCCAGGGGAAACAGGATCACAGGATCACTTTTCTTCAGGTCCCTCCTACAAAATTCAAATGGGAGGGCCTCCTGTGTAATAAAGGCAAGGTGCAAATGTTCTAGGTATTCTCTAATGAGCCTGACCACATTGTTAATAAAGGTGTGTGTGTGTGTGTGTGTGTGTGTGTGTGCGCGCGCGCACACGTTGTGCAAAGGGAAAGGCGAGGGAGGGGGAAATTAGCCAACACAACCCTCTTCTGAGCAATACTATCTTCCTTGGTGGCAGTTATCTGGGCTCACTAGCAAACTGCAGATAAAGGGGAAGTTGTCTGTCACGCAAATGTTTCCCAGGACCCCAAGGCATCCAGCACCCCCTGGAGGTGCATTTCTTAGGGGCTGGAGCAGATCTGTCTTAGATGGTAGGCCTTGAATCAATGACAGGGCAACACTTGTGTTTCAAAGTTCTTGGCAACTAAAGAGTATGCACCAAAATGTATACCCTAGGTTCAATAAACGTATTAATTTCTGCACATTTCATGCATTTTTCAATAAAAATATGACATCATTTCAAGTTATAAACATATACAAATCATAAAATTTGTCCCCTAGTTTATTTTAAATTCATTTATTTCCTTATTACAAAAATAATATCCGTTCTAGAAAAGTGAAAAATTGATTTAAAAAATCATCTGAAAAATTAGAAAATACAAGAAGACAAGAAAGAAGAAAAATCATTTACCATTCCAATGCTAAAGACATCACTTACTATTTTCTCTCTTTTTTAGTTTTGAGGAATGTTAACCCTGAGCTAACATCTGCTGCCAATCCTTCTCTTTTTTGCTGAGGAAGATTGGCCCTGAGCTAACATCCATACCTATCTTTCTCTACTTTATATGTAGGATACCTGCCACAACGTGGCTTGACAAGTGGTGCATGGGTCCACACCCAGGATCCAAACCAAGGAACCCGGGACCACTGATGGAACGTGCAAACTTAACCACTGCACCACCAGGGCATTCAGGATACGTTACGTCATGTTATAGTAACACACACTGCTGCTCTTTATTATTTAAAAGTCTCAAGAAAGGCCAGCCTGGTGGCAGCGTAGTGATTAAGTTCCTGAGCTCCACTTCAGTGGTCCAGTGTTCATGGGTTCAGATTCCACGTGCAGACATAGTACTGCTCATCAAGCCACGCTGTGACAGCATCCCACATAAAATAGAGGAAGATTGGCACAGGCGTTAGCTCAGCAACAATCTTTCTGAAGCAAAAAAGAAGAGGAAGATTGGCAACAAATGTTAGCTCAGGGCCTGTCTTCCTCACATGCAAAAAAAAAGTCTAAAGATTTATTTCTCGCTCACACAAAATGCCCTTGTGGGGTTGGTAGGGAGCTGTGCTTGATTTGCTCTCAGCAAGGGATGCAGCCTCCCTGATCTGGAGCAGAGCTTCTTGCCATCGCAGAGGGAAACGACACGGGGAGTCCCATCTTAGCTCTTAAAGTTGGCCTCCAGAAAGCGACATGCTTCATCTGCCACATTTTACAGGCCAAACACCTGCCTGACCTCTCAGCGGTCAAGAGGTGGAACCTTAGCACGTGCCCAGTAGGGGAAGCACCAACAGCATCGGGGAACAGCACCAATGATTACCCAAGCTCTCCTTTCCTTCCTCCCTGCCCTTCATTTCCTTTTTCCTTTATTCCTTCCTAAATGGGATCACGTTTTTAAAATTGGACTTAATATCCATTCATTGATGGCCTGCTTGACGCTGATGACACAGTATCACACAATGCAGATATAGAGTTACAGAGTAGTGAGGAAAACAGAAAATTGCAATTATGTAATGACAGGTTTAGTGTCTTTAATTCTTTTTTATCTGCTTTTTTACCCCAAATCCCCCCAGTACATAGTTGCATATTTTAATGGTGGATCCTTCTAGTTGTGGCATGTGGGATGCTGCCTCAGCATGGCCTGATGAGCAGTGCCACGTCCACGCCCAGGATTTGAACTGGTGAAACCCTGGGCCTCCGAAGCAGAGCAACGGAACTTAATCACTCGGCCCCAGGGCCGGCCCAGTGTCTTTAATTCTTTACTGAACAATCAATTCATACTATGCATCTCTTCAATTCAGCACATATTTATGACTGCCCACCACACGACAAGCACTGGGTTATTCTCTAAAGTGTACTTGCAGAAACTGCCACTGACCAGGGCCCTCTGTGATTTTGACTCCTTTTCCTGCCTTCTCCACCTGGATTCTACCTACACTCTAAGCTGCTGAGTCAGGTTTGCCTTCACGGGCTTCCCCTTTTTATTTCAGTCATGCCTCTCTAATGTTTTTCTTTGGAATAGTGATGACACGAAGAGGTAGCTCGGAGTGCTAACCTCTCTATAAGCAATCCCTCCTTTAAGCCCAAAGTCACACAAATACACGTTCAAACTAGACAATTAGCAAGCACAACTTCCAAAGTGGCCCCCAAGGCATTCAAAGAGTGCTGCCTCTCCATCCCTCCTAAATAGAAGACTGACTCAATGATTGACCTGAAAATCTGAGTTCCGCTTACTCATGTCCAGGGTTCCCTCTTTGTTCTCTGCATGTTCAGAGTAAACATTTTTTCATCTGTCTGCCATATTTTCCTGTATCAGATAACTGTGAAAGCATCCGAATGTTATTAAAATAAGGGTCTGACATCAGAGAATGTGGGAAGTAGAATAACACTGACTTAACATGAATGGAGGGCGAGCCAGTGACAAAGAGAGTGATGGAGTGATGAGGGAGAGATCTAAACACGAAGGAAAAAAATTAAAAAAGAAATTTGGAAAGACAATTGAGTGGGATAAACTCAATTTTAGGAAAGGAAAGGAGATGAAGGAAGTTCTATTGCACATAAATCTAACAGTGGAATAATTATT